ATGAGGGATAGCCTAAGTGAGCAAGTAAGTATAAGTAAGTAAGTAAGACTGAGCTTGTGAAAAGTTACTCTTTTGGCAGTCCGAAGGATTCTGGGTATTCGAATAGGAATCTTTTAAGCTCCACATTAGCATTCATTAGAGCAGGGCTTCTTGAAACGGTGCGTCACAACCCCAAATGAGGTCACCTTAGCTCAACATTGGGGTCCAAACAAAGTTTTCTGAATGTTATTTAGTGGATATTTTAGACACTGGCACAAATCCGTTGTGCAGGATTTACCGTGGACTCTGCAGAAGATGCTTCATAAAAAGGAAAATCAGCCTGTTTAGCAAGCCTTCCAAAAGTTGACTTGTTCTCAGTAAATGTTTGATTTCTATACTTACTACTATTTTATATACTTACATACCCCAGGTTATATAAAAATGTCTGGCCAAAAGGGGTCCCGAATGGAAATGTTTAAGAAGCCCTGAACTAGAGGTAAGCTCTTTACTATATTTACAAATTGAACCTGGCAGAATTGGGTACCATTCCCTGCATGCATAAACTGTGCCTTGGAATGAATATTGATACATCCCTGTTGTGACCTTCACCGTGGCCCAACTTTTCCGGATTCTGAAATCTTGGGTGAACGCTAGTATTTACTTCAAGAGAGCGAGTGGAATTTTTCCCCCAACGGAGCCTCTGATAACAAAAAGGCTTACTAGTCCCCTGCTTTCACACACCAAAGAGACAACACTTATCATGCTTGACAAAGCCTCCTTTCTCAGTCCCACAAAGCAAACGTGTGGAGAAACTGCAAATCCTCGCCCACGCCTTGGGAGTGAATGAAGCTTTATGAAGATGGGTTTCAAATAGCTCTTTTTTGCAGCAGTGTGGTGGAAGAAAGGCACTTCAAACATATGGTTTTTGCATACCTGAAGAAGGCTGCCTAAAACAGTGCTTTGGAAACTTTGGGGAACTGATAAAAAAGTGTTTTATTTATGAATTAAAACAGTTTCAAGATGATGGCACTCCCCTGACAGTGTGGATCTGTTACGCCCCCTCATTCTCTGCTTCTCAGATGCTCCGCAAAGTCTTTCCATTGCAGGCAGGTTGGGGAGCGGAATGCAGCTCCTCATTTGGCTATGACTGGGATTTATGTGTTTATTGTTGCCTGTTTTAAGGCAAGCTCTGTGTAAAGTGAAGATGGTTGGAGATTTGTTTCCTTTTCTCCCCTTTTGTGTGTGTGTTTTTGGCATTCCCGAGAAGTTGAATTGATTTTTGCATTGCGTATTAATGTGTGTTTTGGCAATGCAATGTCTGAAAGCTCACACCTACCCTAGCTCCTCGAAAATCATCCAATCTCCAAAAGCCTTGACAGAGGGAGGAGGCAAAAATATTCCCATAATTTTGGCCAAGACAGGCCATCTTGGCATAGTGAAAAAGCCTGTTGAGGATTCCCTATTCCTTGTAAATGATCTCTCCTTGGTCAGCAAACAAGGCCAAGGCTTGTGGTTGCTGCTGTTTTGCAAAAAATGGTTCTGCAAAACCAGTGCATTTTCATAAGGGTGGCACAGATGGCAAAAGGCTAACAACCCCAAATAATATTGTTTAGATTACTCCAGACATCAAGGAAATAATGTGTTGTCAAAGGCTTTCATGGCCGGAATCACTGGGTTGCTGTGAGTTTTCCAGGATGTCTGGCCATGTTCCAGAAGCATTATCTCTTGACATTTCACCCACATCTATGGCAGGCATCCTCAGAGGTTGTGAGGGCTGTTTGAAACTAGATAAATGGGATACACACACACACATTCACATAAACCTGTGGAATAATGTCTGTTGGAGGCAAGTTTGAATGTCTCCAACAAGTGGAGGCACTGTCTGTTGGAGGCAAGTGTGAATGTTGCAATTGGCCACCTTGATTAGCATTGAATAGCCTTGCAGCTTCAAAGCCCAGCTGCTTCCTGCCTGAGGAGATCCTTTGTTGGGAGGTGTTCACTGGCCCTGATTCTTTCCTGTCTGGAATTCCCATGTTTTCTGAGTTTTCTTATTTTTTTACTGTCCTGATTTTAGAGATTTTTAATATTGGTAGCCAGATTTTGTTCATTTCTATGAATTCCTCCTTTCTGTTGAAATTCTCAACATGCTTGTGGATTCTCTGCATAGTCTGACATGGTGGTTGTTAAGAGTAGTCCAGCATTTCTGTGTTGTCAAATAATATGTTGTATCCAGGTTGGTTCATCAGGTGCTCTGCTATGGCTGACTTCTCTGGTTGGTTTAGTCTGCAGTGCCTTTCACGTTCCTTGAGATTAAACACAGAAATGCTGGACCATTCTAGCAACCACCATGTCAGACTGCACAGAGAAATCATCGAAATCCACAGGCAGTCAGGTCTTGAAGCTGCAAGGCTATTCAGTACTAGTCAAGGTGGCCAATGGCAACCTTCACACTTGCCTCCAACAGACAAGAGTTCTTTCTCCCATCCTGGACATTATTCCACAGATATATAAACCTCACCTAGTTTTCAGCAGACTTCACAACCTCTGAGGATGCCTGCCATAGATGTGGGCAAAATGTCAGGAGAGAATGCTTCTGGAACATGGCCAGACTGCCCAGAATACTCACAGCAACCCAGGGAAGAATGATTACATGTTTCAGTTTTGCACATATTACAAAATGCACAAAATCTAATCTCAAAAGTGGACACAATCTCTTTGAGACAAAGAAAAGAATCTTGAAGTCTGGTGGCAAGAACTTTTTTTCCTTTTTCAGCATTGTTCAGGACCTGTGTATCTTTGCGATCGCATCTTCCCCTATGAACCAACCTAAGATCATCCGGGGAGGCCCTTCTATCGCTTCCACTTCCATCTCAAGCGTGTTTGGTGGGGACGAGGGAGAGGGCCTTCTTGGTGGTGGCTCCCCGGCTCTGGAACTCTCTTCCTAGGGAGATCAGACTGGCACCTACCCTGTCCACCTTCCGCAAGAACCTAAAGACATGGATGTTCCGTTGTGCCTTTGATTAGGCAATTCCAAAGAATTGGCCCAATAATATTGAAGTTCCGGCACTTTAGCATGGCCCTCCACTCTACAATTCTGACATTTTAATGCCCAAGGATATTACTCTCCCATCCCTGCCTACTGAATTTTGCACTTTCCCTTAGCTCTATCTAGAAATTTTGCACAAACTCAGAGCCTTACAAACTCGCTACTTTTTTTGCTCTGCACTGAACTGTTTTTGTGATGTTATGTTTTATTGTGATATGTTTCTATTTGGTTTTGTTTTGTTTTGATTTAATTATATTATGTTTTTAGCTATGTGCTCTCTGGGCTTGATCCTTTGTAAGCCGCTCCGAGTCCCTTCAGGGATATGGAGGAGGGTATAAAAATAAAATTATTATTATTTTATTACTAGCCGTCCCCTGCCACGGGTTGCCGCGGCCCAGCCTGTGTATTAGGGCTGGGCGGTTTCGTTTCGTTAATTCGTAATTCGTTAATAATTTGTTAATTTTTTAATTACAAAACTATAACGAACCATTCTGGAGCAATTTAAAAGAAAAACGAATTTTTAAATAGTTTTGTAAATGCTTCGTATTTCGTTATTGTATTCGTTTCGTTATTGTTTTGAGGTCGTTTCATTATTATTTCCGCATGTCTGGGGCAGGTTTTATGGTTGTTTTTTGTTTAATTAGTGAAAAAAAATTATAATATCACACCAACAGTCAACAACAGAGGGAGAGGGAAGCTTCAGAAGTTTTTGGAGGTTTTTTAGCGTATTTCGCGGTCGCGTCCGCCATTAACGAATCGATTTGTTATTGTTTCGGAAATCGATTCGTTAATGTTTTGTAATTTTTTTTCACATTTACGAAATTTCGTAAATATTGAACTTTTTAAAAGGAAAATTTTGTAATTATTTTAAATAACGAAACGCAAAAAACCCCAAAAAACGAATCGATTTTAGAAACAATTTTTTCCGTTGTTACCCAGGCCTACTGTGTATATGTGTTTTGTGTGTGTATGTATGTGTATATATTTGTGTATATGTGGTTTTGCACATGCATTGTAATGTTTTGGGTTTGTTTGTTTTTTTGCTTTTTAAGTCTCTTCCACTGTGTCTTTATGAGTGATGGTCACTCGTTGGCCTGATAGGTGTATTGTGTCCAAACGTGGTGTCAATTCATCCAGTGGTTTTTGAGTTATGTTAATCCCACAAACGAACATTACATTTTTATTTATATAGATGATGATGATGATGATGATGATGATGATTATTATTATTATTATTATTATTATTATATTGCTCATTTGAGAACAAATGATGTCAGGAATAAAATAAATGCAAGTAAGGCATTGGCCACCAGAGCTTGCTCTTTTGGAAGAAGAAAGGGCACAATAGATTCATACAACAATCATGGCCTTGGATTTCAAATTACAGAGACGGAACGGGGACAAATGAATAATTTCTCCTTCCTCATTCTCTATGAAACCCTTTTTTCATGCTATGTAAAATGCCCAAATTGGAACCAAACATGGGATTCTCCTGTATAAAGAAAGCATACTCAAACCCTGAAGTTTGCAATTGCAAGTATTAAATAATTAGAAGCTGCTGCATGCCAACTATCAAGTCATATCACATCATCATATGTTGTTGTATTTCACTGTCTGAGGATGGATCTACACTGCCATATAACCCAGTTTAAGATGGCAGAATAACAACATTAAAATAAATTATAGGAGTCTACACTGCCGTGCAATCCAGTTCAATGCAGTTAATCTGCATTGTGAAACAGCATTGTATGGCAGTGTAGATTCAGCCTGAAATACTAACACGTCTGTCAAGCAAATACTGTCCCACACAAAGCAGCAAAATCAAGGAGAAATACTGAAACTAAGAACTGTCACTGTGGCCAAACATCAACTCTGCTAAAACATTCAACCCAAAAATGGAGCATAAAACGGATTTTAACATCCACAGAGAATCCGACAGAGCATACTCCTCTGAGTCTTAAGCCTGTTGCCTTACCTCAGTGTGAACTGGTCCACTGTTGCGTTTGGAGCAATAGATACCACAAAGGTCAAGACATCTCCTTGCTTGACAGTCTTTGGTATATACTGGATAGCAATATTACTATCCAGCCGCATTTCGCTCAAGGAAGGGCTGCCTCGTGACTGGTAAAGAAAAACACTACCAATTCTCTGCAAAGGGGGCCCTGATTCATCGATCTCATTGCGTCCAGGTCTGATCCCATTGTCCTTCTTTGGATCCTCCTTTGCACAATCCCCTTTCTCATCCCCTTGTTGGATAGCATAGTAAAGTTCCACCGGACTCCCTTCTGACTGATTCGGGAGTTTCTTACGGCCTGTGACCACTGTCGGTGGGTTAAACCAGCTGGGAAGAAGTCCCAACTCAGCCACACACAGGCCGAGAGCCCCTTTCAGTCGACAGCTGCCTCGGACTTCCCTTGTCTCTCGAAAAGCAAAGACCCTTAAGCATGGCAGCTTTTCAGTGACACTGTAATCATCCCAGTCCCTCCCGACAATATAGAAGAGTATTTGGACTTTGGGTCTACTTGGATAGATTTTGTTGTTCATGATGTACGCCTTCAGCTTCCAGTTAAAAGAGAACTTGGGAGCAGTGGATCCAAATGAATTTGAAGGGGACAAAAGATCCTGGGGAACCACTTGTTCAATGGAAAAGGGTCCATACGTTGCCTTCACTACAGGAGGCCGCTTTGATTTATAGATGAGGAAGGATTCCACTCGGGACTGTAGACTAGAGTTCCTCATGATATCCTGGTTGGCTTCTTTAAGAAAAAAGGAGACGTCTGCATTATGGATGTGATAACTCACAGGCAAGTATGTCGGCAGCAAGGAGAATTTCTGGATGCTTTCTAGGATCCCCCGGCTCTCTGTAACTGAGAAAAGGAAAAGAGAGTTTATAAGTATGAAAGCTTATACCCATATCCCTACATTCACATTTATCAGGGATACAAAAAGAATTAGTCATTTTATGTCAGCAACCTATAACACTGTAAATCATTGCATTCTCCTGAGAAAAACTTATAATATCACAAAGGACTACCACCTCACCTGCCTCATAAGAAATTTGCTACAAAACAGGAGCTTTTTTGTTGAATTCCAGGACCAGAGGAGAAGACGGTGAAAACAGAAGAACAGCCTGACTCAGGGGAGCATGCTCGCTCCATCAATGTTTAATGTTTACACAAATGATGAGCCACTGCCAGAAGGGACAGAGAGTTACATCTATGCTGACGATCGTGCCATCACCACCCAAGCAGGGAGCTTTAAAATGGTTGAACAGAGGCTCTCTGAAGCTTTAGGTGCTTTTATTGTCTATTACAGAGAAAACATGCTGATTTCTAATCCATCTAAAACAGAGACTGGAGAATTGCAGCACACCAAAATATTTGGGAGTTACCCTGGACCGTGCTCTGACTTATAAAAAGCACTGCTTGAATATCAAGCAAAAAGTCGGTGCTAGAAATAACATCATAGAAAAGCTGACTGGCGCAAGCTGGGGATCACAACACAACACAGTGAAGACATCTGCCCACACGCTTTGCTACCCTGCTGCTAAATACGTATGCCCAGTGTGGAACACATCTCACCATGTTAAAACAGTGGATCTTAATGAGACATGCTGATTTATCACTGGATGCCCCACATCACTGGAGATATCATACTGTTTAGCCAGTATGGCACCACCTGACATCTACTGGAAAGTAGCAGCCAACAATGAAAAGACCAAGGTAGTAACATCTCCGACCCATCCCCTGTTTGGATATCAGCCAGCACACCAATGCCTTAAATCAAGAAATAGTTTTCTAAGATCTACAGAGATACTCGCAGGAACACCTCAGCAAGCGAGAGTCCAAAAGTGGGAGCTAAAACCCGGAACCTCAAGCCATGGCTGATACCGAATGAGAGACTCCCTCCTGGGCACACAGAAAACTGGGCAACTTGGAAGGCGCTGAACAGACTGTGCTCTGACACCAAGAGATGCAGAAGTAACCTTAAGAAATGAGGCCACAAAGTGAAGTCCATGACATGCAAGTGTGGAGAAGAGCAAACCACAGACCACCTATTACAATGCAGTCTGAGCCCTGCCACATGCACAATGGAGGACCTTCTTATAGCACCACTAAAGGTAATCCAAGTGGCCAGCTACTGGTCAAAGGACATTTAGTGTAATGCCAAGTTTTAAAACTTTGTGTTTTTAAATACATTACAACTGTACACTCAGTTCACTTCTGACACGATAAATAAATAAATAAATAAATAGTCATTTTTCTCATGTGTTTTGCCCATTAGGACAGCCTGTCAAAAAAGAGGCAACTGCCATGTGATCTTCTACCCAGTGTGCAATGGCATATAAAGGAGACCTTCTCCCCACATCAAAATCTCTACAAGAAGACTTACAAAAAAGCTAGTCTATTTCTCCCAATAAGCAAAGTGTATAAATGCATAGGGCAAATGCCAAAGGACAGGGTCATTGATTAAAAGGTGTAAACGGTCCATCTGACACTTTTATGTAACAAGGCAGCCACAACAGTTGTCCTCATTTGTACAATCCATGCCATTATTTAAAAAAAATATGTACCAAAATTCTCACCATCTCATCAAGCAGACATGTGCTTCTCATCTGAACAGAAAAGCTTCTCAAGATCTGAGAATGACCTAGGAAGGAATCCCACTGGAGCATTGCAGCACATGAACATACTTGGGAATTGCCCTGGACCATTCTCTGACTTATAAGAAGCACTGCTTGACTATCAAGCAAAAAGTGGGTGCTAGGAACAACATTACAAAAGATGACTGGCACAACCTGAGGATCACAACCAGCCATAGTGAAGACATCTGCCCTTGTGCTTTACTACTCTGCTGCTGAGTACGCATGCCCAGTGTGGAACACATCTTGCCATGTTAAAACAGTGGATGTGGCTCTTAATGAGACATGCCATATTATCACAGGATGTCTACGCCCTACGCTGCTGGAGAAATTATACTGTTTAGCTGGTATTGCAACAACTGATCTCTGCAGGGAAGTAGCAGCCAGTAATGAAAGGACCAAGGCACTGGCATCTCCGGTCCATCCTCTGTTCGGATATCAGCCAGCAAGCCCATGCCTTAAATCAAGAAAGAGCTTCCTAAGATCTACAGAGACACTCGCAGGAACACCTCAGCAAGCGAGACTCCAAAAGCAGTAGGCTAAAACCTAGAACCGCAATCCATGGCTGATACCAGATGAGAGAGACCCTCCTTGGGCACACTGAAGATTGGTTGACTTGGAAGGCACTGAACAGACCACGCTCTGGCACCATGAGATTCAGAGCCAACCTTAAGAAATGGGGCCACAAAGTGGAGTCCACGACATGCAAGCGTGGAGAAGAGCAAACCACAGACCACATACTACAATACAGTCTGAGCCCCACCACATGCACAATGGAAGATCTCCTTAGAGCAACACCAGAGGCACTCCAAATGGCCAGCTTCTAGTCAAGGGAAATTTAGTATAATGCCAAGTGTTTAACTTTCTTTGTGGTTTTTCTATGCATTATAACCATATTCTCAATTTGCTTCTGACAAAATAAATAAATCAAACAGAAGAAAATGACTTTTCATTTTTGAGCACAAGGAAAGATAAGCAAGGATTTACATCTTTAAGAGGTTTGACTTATTCAGCCATCTATTTACACAGCAGGGGACAACATAAGATTTGCCTGGTTTAGGTCAAAGGTCTTTCTAATCTAGCATCCTGCTTCCTACAGGTGCCAATCAAACGCTTCTATATCAAGCCCATAAGCAGTGTAAGAATGCCAGTGGTCTTTCAGCTGATGCAACAAGGCTCTTCTTACATTCTTACCAGCTCTCTCTGGAACTAATGTGTTTTCATATTTTTTTCCCCCTGTGTTGTTTTCTTTTTCTGTATGACTAGTTTAATCACTGCCAGCTTCTTAGCAACTTGTTTGACTCCAGTCCATAAAAGGATATGCTCCTAAGTGATTCTATCCAGCACCTGTCCCCTTCCCCATTCAAACCAAGGCTTTATCAGAATCACCTACCAAAAAGAACAGGATAATTCCCCTAACCATCAGGATTCATCAGCCTCCAGGGGTAGATAAAGGTAAAGGTTTTCCCCTGACTTTAAGTCCATTCATGTCCGACTCTGGGGGTTCGTGCTCATCTCCATTTCTAAGCCAAAGAGCCGGCGTTGTCAGTAGACACCTCCAAGGTCATGTGGCCAGCATGACTGCATGGAGTGCCGTTACCTTCCTGCCGGAGCAGTTCCTATTGATCTACTCACATTTGCATGATTTCGAACTGCTAGGTTGAAAAAAGCTGGTACTAACAGTGGGAGCTCACCCCGCTCCCAGGTTTGAACTGGCAACCGTTCGGTCCGCAAGTTCAACAGCTCAGCGGTTTTAACCCACTGCACCACCAGGGCCTCCAGGGGTAGACTATCTTAATCAGTGCCTTGGTGCGGTATTGAGTTGTCTCCAGTTAATCTGAAATTTACTCAGTAGTAATCTGTTCATGACAATGGAACTACTTAAAGCTCCTCCATCCCCATGTCACCATCATCTCATCCAATACAGAAAATGAGGTCCATTACATTTCCAGCAGCCTTGAGTGAAGTGAGAAACCTTTTGAAGCACACACATGACTGTCATGATGGACATAAAGTCCTGAGCTACTCCCAAAAGTTCAGTTTTAGCATGAATGCTGAAGCTCTCTGAGATGGCACGGCAAGCTAAAGGTCCCTGGTCAAGTGATCCCTGGTCAAAAAAAGGTTGGGAACCACTGTTCTACACAGTGACTACCTTATCTCCTCAGGGTATTGCTGTAGATCATTGCTTCTTAAACTGTGGGTCCCAGCTCAATGTCGGGGTCCTAAACATTTGGCCACAGGAAAAGTTTTCTGAATGCCACCTAGTGGCTCTTTTAAACATTTACACAAATCTGTTGCACAGGGTTTACAATGGACTCTGCAGAAGATGCTTGAGCTGTACTTCATAAAAAGACAAATCTTCTGTTTTGCATTCCTTGCAAATGCTGATTTGTTATCACTAAATGTTTGCGTTCTAAAAACTATTTTATATACCTACATACCTGGGGACACATAAAATTTACTCGGCCTGAAAGGGGTTGCAAGTGGAAATGTTTAAGAAGCCCTGGTCTAGTCTCCAAAGAGCTGCCTGAATAGCTCCTTTAGGTTGGAACTAAAACCGAGAGCAGTTTTGCTGACCTACAAACATAGGAGGCACCAACCTCATTATTTTTAGATCCTCTTTGCATCAGATCTGATTGCTTAGTTCTTCCATTTCCTATGGGGAAGTATGCAGAACTACTGTAAATTCAGGTGAAGGGGAAAGCTCCTCTATAGAAAAAGTAGTTCTTAATCTCTCACATCATTACCACTATCACTACTAGATTATGATTATGATAGGCGTAGATGAGTAAAGCATGATTCAATTGAATGTCAATTAAGAAAATAAATGGGCCTCTGTAATCAGAAATTTTGGTAATGCTGATCTGCAGAAATGTGGAGGAAGGCACAGAAAGTGTCATAAGCCAGCTTTTAAAAGTTATTTTCAAAGTTACTGTCACCTCCTCACATTCTGTGGATGTTGTTGCCATCCCTTTGTACTCTGATAATGTTTGTGCTTGTTTAGGGCTGTGAGATCCATTAAAATAATGGTTCAAAGGTCATTACAAAAATGGGGGTCTTGACATTTCATTTCTAAAGTGTTTCTAAAGTATAATTAGTGAAAAATTCATTACTGTAACGAGAGTAACAAAATTTCATTACTATTTCTTTACAGTAATTGCAATAAATTATTATAATTGGGAAACTTCAGGGGTTTCTTTCTCCCTCATTTTTAAAGCTATTGGG